ATGAGACCCACTAAAGGTACTAAATTAACCGGACTGCTAGCAAGGAATCGAGAGTCGAGTGGGAATAAAAATAAAAGCGGAATAAATTTTAAGATAATGAAACAGAAACTGAAAGCTTTTTCTGAGAGGGTGAGAGGTTCTTTAATTAGAGCTAATGATTAAATGAGACCCACTAAAGGTACTAAATTAACCGGACTGCTAGCAAGGAATCGAGAGTCGAGTGGGAATAAAAATAAAAGCGGAATAAATTTTAAGATAATGAAACAGAAACTGAAAGCTAAAATATATACCGTTCTAGAATGCCTCCGCAAACTATTGCTCCTTTGTAATATGCACGTGTTACTGTTAGTAAGTGTAGTAAAAAGATAAAAATAATAAAGCTATAAAAATGAACGGATCGGTGAAAATCTGAGAGGGTGAGACTGAGAGGTTCTTTAATTAGAGCTAATGATTAAATGAGACCCACTAAAGGTACTAAATTAACCGGACTGCTAGCAAGGAATCGAGAGTCGAGTGGGAATAAAAATAAAAGCGGAATAAATTTTAAGATAATGAAACAGAAACTGAAAGCTAAAATATATACCGTTCTAGAATGCCTCCGCAAACTATTGCTCCTTTGTAATATGCACGTGTTACTGTTAGTAAGTGTAGTAAAAAGATAAAAATAATAAAGCTATAAAAATGAACGGATCGGTGAAAATCTGAGAGGGTGAGACTGAGAGGTTCTTTAATTAGAGCTAATGATTAAATGAGACCCACTAAAGGTACTAAATTAACCGGACTGCTAGCAAGGAATCGAGAGTCGAGTGGGAATAAAAATAAAAGCGGAATAAATTTTAAGATAATCTAATGGATGGAATATGTAATAATTGGCAAATAGAGATATAAGATACGGTATCTAATTTAGATACCTGTAGTTCCGGGAAGACTGCTGCGAAACAAAGACCTCCAAACTTACAACAAATGCCGACAAACTATGCGTATAATGTAGAGTATTAGAGTAATAGTATATGTTGTACACCGTACATAAAACCATCAAACTCTAACGTTTGAACTTTAAAATATTGATGAGCTTTTATTAGGTTTATCGGAATTACCGCTCAAAGGTATATTTAAAGGAGATCATTATGCGCTTAACCGCCGTGGCCTAGGATACCAGAATAAATTATCCCTCGACAGACATATTATTATTAATGCTCTTTCAAAAACTACACGTCTGACCGGACCCTGTAAAATATTAATTGAAGTTGGAAGTTAGAACAATTAGGAGCGTTATATCCACTCGGAGCTTGAGACCCTTAAGTTCGCTGTTCGAGACCTGCTTTAAACTAACTGCGAGGCTGGCCATGGTCTGATTAGGACTTGGTAGTTAGGACGATAAGGAGTGTATCTTGAAGTTTGGAACTTTAACAAAGCTCGAGCCCAAAACTCTGTCAACATAACAGTAGAAATGATCAGATTGGTTACCCCATAAAAAAAATGAGAATTGACGGAACGGGTGCAAAAGGGGGCCTTGTGGGTCATGTGATTGAAACCACAATCTCAAAACGAAATACCGGTAAAAAGTTGAGAAGTGAACTAGGTTCATAATTTGGGACCTACACTCTAGTTGTAAATTGATAACTGGTTACACGCGATTTGTGACGTCACACAGCCGCGCGCACGTGCGGGATAAGGCTATTTGTATTACTATTAAAAGAGTACGTATGTATGTTGTGTCCCATATCATTATTATTATTCACAATGCTTATTCGCATTCATTTCAGCTGCTGTTTCTTTGATTCTTTATAACTTCATCGGGAAGAAATGCTCTCCTCGATTCTGTCGTATATGGACACGTTCATTTGAGTTTGAGGATATTGGTAAACAAAAATAATAGCGTTTTTGACGATAGTGGCTTAATTTTGACATCTATTAACCTAGCACGTTCAGAAGTTCTGAACATTAGCCACGTAACCCATACTCCCATATGCACCGCTCAGAAAGAAAATCTATTGTTGTTCAGTGGCGTAACATTGCCTGTTGGCGCCCCCCTGCCGAAAAGGCGCCCCCCTGTTGGCGCCCCCTCTCCTTTTGGTGCCCCTCCCTAAAATTGAACAAATTAGGCGATTTAAGAGGATACGCCGGTAAAATCTCTAAAAAAGTGTGTATCTAGAGCAAAACGCGCAGTTTTGCTAGTACTTTAGTTAAGTTTTCGAAATTTTCCCACATTCAAACGACGATTTGGCGCCCCCCCTAAGACGGCGCCCCCCTGCACAGCGGGGTCAGCAGGGCCCTTCGTTACGCCACTGTTGTTGTTAGGCACTATAATGTTTCAAATGTCACATTTTGTGTGACTTAGTTAACTGCAGTTGTCTAATTATCATTCCTTGGTCTGAAATATAGTAGATTAGGTCAATCTAACAATTATGATACAACATTGGTTAATGGGCACGGATCGAACGGTTACAAGGCAATATTTGGGTAACTTTGTCACACTCATGATACCATACCTCTATTCTACTGTGAGGTGTCCTAAAAACCCTTTCAACTCATTATTTTATGGTTGCTCTACCAAGCATAGCCCTAAAATATGTTATTTTGAATAGTTAGCTAATACAGGCACTTGGTTATTGGGAAATGAGGTTAATTCTGTCACAATATATGAAATTTAAAATTTTGGGCGAATAATTTATATCTGATTTTGGTTTGAAAGGCGGGAAAATTTTATATGATGACAATGTAGTTGATGCAAGTTAAGATCAGTTGATGTTTACATTGTCACAAAAATTATACGAAATCGTAAATAGATTAAAAACAATGATTATAGAATGAAATAGTCTCTTATAATAACTCTTATAATAACTGATGTGACAAAGTAAACATTTCTTGCCCCTATTTTGAAGAACTATACCTCTATTAGAATACTATGTAACTTTATCATCAAAAAAAATTCGATAAACTAGTTATTTTGCCAGCAAGGAGCTAACAGAGTTATAATAATTTTTTGTGACGAAATTACCCTATTTTTGACCATGTAGCGGTAGTTTAATTGTGACACTGTTAACATATTACCACCTGATAATGATTTATGTGACTGGTGCATGGTACTAGCAGTGTTGTTTGATCCATAGTACGTATAATATAAGGGGTTTAAGCTGGTATATCATTATTTGTTCAATTTCACACATGTTCAGATATCATCAAGATTATGTGACAAAGTAAGCTTGGTTGTGCCTTCTGTGTTTTAATTCCTTACGACTATATGATATAATAACAATTCCCAGCACTTCCAGGCCATCAAATAAACTTACACTACTCAGCATTGCTTATCAGGGTGCCTTAAACATTCATCACATATTTTCTTTAATGTGTGACAGAGTAAACATGAATGCACCATCTAACGAAAAAAGTCGTCAAATATGTTGGTAATGGTCATATGTACCCATCCAATCAACTGGACACTCAAAAATTTGGTCAAAAACGGCAGCAAGGGGTCCATATTTACTCCGTCACATGTTTATAGTGTGACAATGTAACCATTTCCGTGCCGGCCGTATTTAAGCGATATCTTATCACCTGATTAAGATATCGTTATGTGACAAAGTTAGCCTAGAGGATGAGACGATTATCCTAACCATCAAGGGTTTAAGTAATTTCATAGTGTGACAAAGTCAACTACACTGTGCCTTTTAATAGGGTCACTTATATTTACCAATATCCTCAAACTCAAATGAACGTGTCCATATAAAATATAATAAGTGATAACTGATAAACAAGATTTTACCGAACTTTTAAAATAAGAGGCTGTAAATGTGGCCCACTAGGTCACAATATTTCACCAGACACCCATTAATTAACTAGTATACAGTATACACTATTCACGAGTAATCGCGAAAATGTGATACTTTTTATTAGATCGGTCAATGTTTCCCTTACTCTTAATTAAAAAGTATTCAAACAATATACACATAAAATGACACCGTCATGTTTCCCTTATATTAGCTATCAGACGTTGCCTGACTCATCATCTCATCAATGAAATGCCAGGACGTTAGCTGACTATTATATAGAGATCTGAGATGGTACATGCGAAGCCTTGCAATCTCTTAATCACAGTCATGTCACAGTTAAGAGTAGAGAGGTTTGACTGTATTATATTTTCAGGTCACGTGGTATGACTGCAAATTTTTGAATTTCAAGCTTTTGAACTTTTACGCAAATATATGATCAGTAAAATCTAAATATTAGCAATGATATTAATATCATGAGAAAAGTACGTACCGATTTCTCGAGAGACCTCTGGCGGCCGTGGTCCCTCGCGATAGAAAACAGTGTGGGTCTTTCCTCGAATCCGGCCGGGAAAAGGGCCCTCCTCTTGTTCCGATTAATTCCTGCGTTGAACTCGCTGCTGGAACCCGGTACCTGGGCCTTCTCCATAAACGACGAGACAAACGTCCGAAACGACATCGCTTTCTCGTTCTTCCGCAAGCAATCAAACGTAAAACGTACTAGTACAAATCCAAAAGCAAAAAATTAATTCTGCTCATGAAATTATGGTTGGAAATAAGTTGAAGCATTATATCTTATGAGTGTAGTCATTTCAAGGGTTCTGTTCATCATTTTAACCTCGCCTGTCCACTGTCTGATATCGTGTCACGTGATTGAAGGAACCAATAGCAATTGCCATGGTAACCCACGTGACTAAGACTCTGATAGCTGGTAACCCAACGAGTAATGATAGAATGCCCCCACTGAGAAGCGATTAGTTCGATATAGTAAAGTTTTATAGTGCAATTAGTTAGTTGGCTAGTACAGCATATTAATGTGAATATTATTGGAGGTCGGTCCTGCTAGAAAAAAACGTGTGTTGTTATCGGAAATGAACTTCCAGTTGCTGGTCTTCTTGATATGACCAAGATAAATAATAGTAGACACACAATTACGTACTGGGAATACAAAATCACAACACAGAAACAACATCACCACACATTGACAAACTTCACGGTTCCGGAACTCACCTCTTTGGACGCCTCCCTGAGATCATAGACCGCAAATCGCTGGGGTGACAACTAAAAATATTGCCAACAATAATATAAGACAGTTATAAAAAAACGACAATACATGACGAAACCTACTAGTTCCATATCTTTTCCCATCCATTTCACGATTAATATTATAGATAAATTAAGTGGGTAGAGAGACCAGCTGGATAAGCCGGTAGGTTACGATATCATCATGGTAACAAGACTCTATCGTCATGGTAACAAGACTCTATTGTCATGGTAACACGAATCTATTATCATGTCTTTTTAGGTTTACGGTTCTGGTATATTTATTGATCCGAATTCTTCTTAGATTACTGCACGTCTACAGCCAAGCTTGGTTGTACAGTTAAGTTTTGAAGAACGTGGAAAGTCATTTGGATTCTGGGTGCTTAAAATAGCAGACAGCCCAGTCAGGTTAATCCCGGAGACCTACAGTTTTACGAAAGCAGTTTCAAAATGATGGATTCGTAATTTGATGGTTAAATGATTTGGTGGTTGAGGGATATCTTGGGTTAAAGGTTTACGGCCGCTAGAATTCAATACTTATAGAGCTCACCCTTTTACTTTTAGTCTGTCCTTACTTTCCGAATTAAGTATGTCAGACAGATTTAATTTCTAGCTAAAATAGAAAACGAACTTATAGTTAAACACGCGAAAGCGTCAACTTCAAGGATCTGAGTACGGAGTATGTGCCAAGAAGGCCCCCCCCCCCCCCCCCCCCCCCCCAAGAAAAATTAGGCGTAATGGGGGAGGTCTTAATTTGTGCTTGCAGTTGTAAATTGACGACTATTGACTAATATCAAGCTCAACTTTCTTTATAATAGTCGAATGAAGTTCTTGATACTGATAATACTCTAACGATGCCCTTTCAAACGCGTACACTCATGTACGATGTACATTGTACGATGTACATTGTACAACATCAATAAGTCTTGATTGCATTGCAAACGATTTGGTATGCCAAAATTTAGAAATATAGAATCATAGAAATCATAGATAAATTGACATTCAACGCCGCAGTAGGTATAATTATTTATAATTCATAGCGTTATCGTGGTCTGATTCAGATTGGATCGATCGATTCACCAGGGACGTTCTGATTGGATTTCTGTTCACGTGATAATATTGGGAGCCAATCAACAAAAAACACCATATATTCGGACTACCAAAATTTAGGTCACCATCATTATTTTCCCCAAATTATTTTTCACGTATTTTCTTTAATATTTATTTTTTCAAATATTGGGTTTAATTTTTTGTAAAATAAAGAAATGACAGAGTCGAACTTTAGTGCGTGTCGAACTATAGTACGTGTACCATAAAAGCGTCTTATCTCATATTATCTTTGCATTTATTGTCGTTTAGTAAGGAGGAATATTGCAAAGAGGAGGCAGCTGTGTATACCATCTACACTTAGTTAAAACTTAATGCAACAATAGGGAAATGTTAGAATATTTCCTGACATTATTACGACCTTTTAAGCCCCTGATAGACCAATAAAGCAAGAATTTGTGACTGTTCGGTGTTCACGTATGTTCTTGTTCTGTCAAGTTTTTGTAGGCTGAAGATAAGTTTTTTGGCAATTATGATATCAGTGAAAGTTATAGTTACTTCAGGATGCTTGTACTTGAGCTTCATAAGTCGGTGGCCAATTCGCTTCGTTAAATTAAGTTTGTTTCCACTAACTGAATTGGGATACTCCACGCGAATGCCGTGAGATTATAGGTATCATTGTGCTATCCTATATTCAATAATTAGGTAGATTGGATTCGTTTCAACGAGATAAAACAGTGACTGTGAAGTAGTGACTTCTCAACCTTTCGGAGAGCTTCTGACAACAAGTCACCTGCCATAACGATTAATGTGAGATACTCAAAATATCAACTTACCCTGTCGACAAAGGACATGCCTCTTCTAAGCAGCATCCCACTTCTGCTGCTTCTCGGCAGTTTCATCGCTACCAGGTCCGAGAAGGAGTACTTAACCTTTTGGTTGCCCTTCATTCTGCTCGATGCCGAATTAGAAATACACAAAAAGCCCTAGTATAGATAATCAACTAATGTTGGTTGCAAGTGCCAGCACGTCCAGGCAGGAGATGTAATGGTTTCAGGCAGGAGATGGGGATAACTCCTTATTCCGGCTCCTCAAAATCAATCGTAGTTTCTACATCTGTTGATCTATTGAACGGAAATGAAATTATGATCTGAAATTCGTCACAATACTTCACAGAAAGAAGGTGTTGTGCGTGATACTCTATATGCTAAACTTGGTGGAATAAAAACAAATCCACTGAGCTACCAAGTTAAAGTTAAACTACTCAGCAATATGTTGGCCTGGCACTAACTAAAATAAGCTCATCTTATGTGGTCCTACATAGATAAACTGAAGTGGGCTAACTTAACGTGACGAGTCGATACGGCAATCATCGTTAAGCAATAACTTAAGAGCTCAGCTTCTGGTGTTACGAACCTCCTCGTTGCTGGACTAATATGTGTAAACAGTGATTGCCGTTCAAAAACACCGGTACTGTGCATTAAATAATAGCCGCAAGATGTGGTCGTTCTCACATGATCACCGGTGTCAACACTTTATATGATATGCTTTTAAGAATAAGTTATTTCATTAGAGATGGATATCTTTACTGGAGCAGAGTTAAGTCTGTGTCATGTGATCTTAGTCATGTGGCCAGCTCACAGCTTTAGGGGACCGTATGTAGCGATATTGTGGCCAGCTCACAGCTTTAGGGGACCGTATGTAGCGATATTGTGGCCAGCTCACAGCGTTAGGGGACCGTATGTAGCGATATTGTGGCCAGCTCACAGCTGTAGGGGACCGTATGTAGCGATATTGACTTTTGAAACGCACGCTTGCTTTTACTGCTCTTTTATAGGTAAGATTGCGACTATAACATAAAAGATGTAAACTTGAGCTTAAACAACTTAACTAAATCAAGGATGTCAAATGAAGTTTTCAAGCCACAATCATCACATCGTTATCGTATGTACTATTATCCTATTTGACAAAAGAACAGACAATTGAGGTCGACGCTTAACATGTTGTCAATTCTAATTAGTGCTGAAGATGAAGTGCACTTCAACCGAAAGTTATTGATACAATATTAGTACAGTCAAATCCGTCCTAATTTAAGCCTTTGTCGGACAAAATTCGCAACAAAGCGATTTTAACGGGATATGGTCGAGACAGGTCCCAGGACTCATTCCAGAGAGTTCCCAAAATCCTCGACTTCAGGAAAATCCACAATTACCACTTTTTTACCACCTTTTTACCACTTTGGTTTTCTGTAAATAAGTCACGTTCTGAATATCCTAGAAGACTCTAGTTTAAAGCATTGTGTTAAGAAAACAAAGAAGAACAACTTTTTCTTTAACAACTTTTTCAAAAATAAATTATTTAATTAATTAATTAAATAATTAATAAATTTTCAAATATTTCAAAAATATATTTTCATAAAAAATGTTCACGATTACATTCCACGTATAATGAACTAATTTTTATAAAAATTTTCACTTTCAATATTTTGGACTTGTAAAATTTTCGAAATTTGTAAAGAAAAACCACTATTTACCACTTTTTACCACATCGAATCTCCGCTAATAAAACGACTTCTGAATTTCGTATAAGGTTCTAGATTGAACCAATGTGTTCAAAATATAAAAGAAAACAATTACTTTTTATATGACAACCTTTGGATTAGATAATTAATTGATTTATTAATTAAATAATAATTAAATTTTTTTAAATTTCAAAATATAATTTTTATCAAAAATATTTGCCGTGACGTAAAACGTAAAATGAATTTACTTGAATAACAGAACATACACCGTCACATAGATTAGATAACAGATTAAAAAATCCAGATAAATGGAATAAATGGTAAAATATCCAAATTTGTACGATACTATTATAGCTTATAACTATTTACACAACATATCTCTCGACTTAGTGTTGTGCTTAACTAGATTGTTAAACTGGTTTGTTTGGAAGCTTCAGCTTTACTTTATGTTGACTTCTCTTCGTAAAAAAGTTGAATCTGCTAAAAATCGAGGACTAAAATCACACGAAATAGTTAATATTTTGACAAAAGAAGAACACATCGTGTGCCTGATACTGTACGCGTGCAGATTCTATGTAAGTAGCTGTCAACTAATATACAATGATAGTAATCTGTTTTTACCGTTTTACTTTTAAGTTTTATGTCAGCGGAGAGCGCAACTAGAGGCATTCTTAACCAATACAATGTTTTAATTTACCAGGCAAATGAGGAGTTAGTTTCGGTGAATAGCTTTAAGAGGGCGAATGATCGACAATGTAAATTTGTATGGAATGAAATATGGAAAGGGTTGCTGTTCCCAGGTACTATTTAAACTATTTATCTTTTAAGTAAGTACACTAACTTTTAAACTATGCCCAGCAAATTTGAAACGGATACGTACAGTCTTATTCTTTATCCTGACGCCTCTCATACCTTGTATAAATAAACAAATCAATGCACCACAGGTTGGATCAACAACCCCTGGTCACTGAACGAAATTAAACGGCAGTACAACGGCATGACTGATTCAGCTCAGAGTGACGTCTTGTGTTTATTATTGCAGACAGTGACCATAGACCAGTTCCAAAGATTCATATCTAGCCTAGCGGTTAGAGCATCAGCCTTCTGCGCAGAAGGTTCAGGGTTCGAATCCCAGTGTCACCTAGTCTAGGGAGTATCTAAGGATCCATTGGATCTATGCGATCTCAACGGTCGACTCAACCGAATGATAGGAAACTTAATTGAGGGTTAAATGAGGAGGGGTACCTGTTAAAAGTTCAAGAAACTTCCTAGGATACCCCTTCAGTGCATACTGTAAACATAGTGCTATTAACTATTATATCGGCCAATGAAGAGGAGTCCGTTGTAACAGAGTCAGGACCATCTTTAGTCCACGAACATAGTTTAAACAAATGTCCATACTGTAACGTAGAGATCGCAAATGATAAATCCTCAAACCGGATTACAGACATGCTAAGTTATTGTGCGGGGGAGGGGGGAGGTGGTATAGTACACATACGTTAGGCTCTTATTAAGTTACTAATTCGCTCGCCCAAAAATTTCACGTGACTTTCTCCGTAGCTTAGTGCACTAGATTCCCACTATCGGAATCGTTCTGAATAGCCGATCCATACCTACTCCGTGGATCCGACTGGTGGTGTCTGATCCAGTGAAAGCGTGGCACAGAAATCGTGCAGAAAGCCCAATTACGGTATCCTAGCACCCTGTCACGTGATAAGCGATTAGGTAATTATTGATAACCCAATCAATTTCGCTAACGAGATAAACAAATTGCTTGATAACTTCGTCATTTTCAATCCGTTTCGCACATCGTTTTGCAGATGTTTTGATTTGCAGAGAGGCAGTTGAGTGGTCTAATCAAGTTGATCTTTCTGTAATTTGTGATGATACTGATTTGCTTGTCATTTTACTGCACATGACAAAACACTTTGCATTTGACCACCAACTGTTTCTCACCACCAAAAGCTACATCTATGACATTGAGAAAATTCAAAGTGCGACTGGTAGGAGGTACGAAAACATGATACTGCTGCATGCCACGCTTTCACTGGATCAGACACCACCAGTCGGATCCACGGAGTTGGTAAGGATCGGCTCTTCAGAACGATCGCATCCATCGATGAAAGTGTAATAGATGCTTTTTATTCGGCAAATTCTACACCAGCTACCATAAAGCATGTCGAAGAACTTTTGATGCTGCAGCCGATTTCATCAAAATCGAGATCACTAGATGAAGCTAGACTTTCAGTTCTTGAACAGAAGTCGCAATCTTTAACAGCAGACATCAAGTGAGAACAGCTCCCGCCAACATCTGGGGCAGCTGAACAACATTCTTATCGTGTTTACCATCAGCTGCAGGCGTGGGATAAGAATGACCTAGATCAGATAAGCTGGGGATGGAAGATGAACAATAGGGCGCATGTACCAGTGACCACTCTTATGAGTACAGCTCCGAAAAAGCTCATTCAAAAAATCAGTTGCAACTGTTTAAAGTCAGGTTGTGGCAATGCTTGTTCATGCAGAAAAGCAGGAATACATTGTGGATCAACCTCAAATGTCAGGACAATTGCACCTATGTGCCAGCTGAGGACTCATAAGTTAGACTCTTATCTAGTATATATGGTTATATAAAGTACCACTTCGATTTCCCGATTAATTTAATGAAAATTTGTTAATTATTCGTGATATGTAATTTTAAAATATTTTGATCAAAAATAATTTGTATAATTTTTGAATATTTGTTTAATAATCGAATTAACTAATTAATTAATTATCTAATCCAAAGGTTGTCAGATAAAAAGTTGTTCTCTTTTATATTTTGAACACATTGGTTCAATCTAAAACCTTCTACGAAATTCAGAAGTCGTTTTATTAGCGGAGATTCGATGTGGTAAAAAGTGGTAAATAGTGGTTTTTCTTTACAAATTACGAAAATTTTACAAGTCCAAAATATTGAAAGTGAAAATTTTTATAAAAATTAGTTCATTATACGTGGAATGTAATCGTGAACATTTTTTATGAAAATATATTTTTGAAATATTTGAAAATTTATTAATTATTTAATTAATTAATTAAATAATTTATTTTTGAAAAAGTTGTTAAAGAAAAAGTTGTTCTTTTTTGTTTTCTTAACACAATGATTTAAACTAAAGTCTTCTAGGATATTCAGAACGTGACTTATTTACAGAAAACCAAAGTGGTAAAAAGTGGTAAAAAAGTGGTAATTGTGGATTTTCCTGAAGTCGAGGATTTTGGGAACTCTCTGGAATGATTCCTGGGACCTGTCCCGACCATATCCCGTTAAAATCGCTTTGTTGCGAATTTTGTCCGACAAAAAGACGGATTTGACTGTACTATATTATCCGGACTAGAGTATGCGGATTGTGGTGGCATCACATCCAGTTTAAGTAAGAACCAACAAACAAGCAGTATTCTTGGACTGCTTGCAATAACGATGACATCCAATGAGCTTTGGCTACTTCAAAACAAGTATCAAATAATTCGGCTCATTTGAGAGGACAGAAGCTGTTTTAAAACGTTTTTAGCGGTTTTACAAGCGAAACGATCAAGTTAAGTGCTTGAATGTACGTGATGGTTTCTCTTAACACTTACTATTTTAGCAAAGTTTCAAAGGACAGTTATAGCCTGTCAAAAGCCGAACAAAAGAACAAACGTCAGCCTTATTAATATTATTGTTTTTAGTACAAGTACAACAAGATAAACATGGAGCAAGATCCCACAAGTAAACGGCGGACAAGTCTTTTGTTCGTCGGGTAGTTTATCATGGTAACGGGGTGTACATCTTTTGTTAGAGCCGCTGATGACCAGTAATAAATTGGTGGTCCTCAACACAATATCCCAGTATAAAACTTTTAGTCTCCAAAACAGGGTCCCTTTTATCCAGCCGGTCTCGATTTAAAAAATAATATTATCCTTTAATTAATAAACTTGTAATACTAATATGAAATAGGTTTTTTTTGTTGATAAATTTCGATAAGTTATTTGACCAAAACCCATAATCATGGGTAGAGTGTACCGCTGCCAGTGTCTCTCTTTTCCAAACAAAAGGAAATGATATTAATTTGAGGAACCGTCCGCTAATACAAATTGATACCGAGAATGAAATCGGTCGCTCGCTTTTCCCATTCATTCACGGCTTACGAATTGTAATAAAGCTTATTAAATGGGAAAAGCGAGCGACCGATTTCATTCTCGGTATCAATTTGCATTAGCGGACGGTTCCTCAAATTAATATCATTTCCTTTTGTTTGGAAAAGAGAGACACTGGCAGCGGTACACTCTACCCATGATTATGGGTTTTGGTCAAATATCATCTCTTTTTGATTATAATGTCAGGTGGATCGTTGGTACCATTAAATCGATTTAACACCGCAATTCCAGTCGCAAGCCTGGGACCACTACTAGCATAGTCACAACATCTACAAAGCTGCCATATAGCCTGACTGACAATTTTCTCGACTGACTGACAATGTTTCTTCTTTTTCCCCATTTAGAATACAAAGATTAGTACATTTTAGCTTATGATTAATATTATATTTTACCTATAGTTTACTTAGATTACACAATCGAAACTTCATTAACAAGGATGTAATTCCGACGATTTCGAAATTCTGCCTTTGAAAACGTTTCCTTGTGTTTAGTTAGGTATATCTGTCGATAACCGACTGAATATGGCACTTTTTACTCATTCAAGTTGGCATTAAATTCATATATAATGCCATTTAAATATCGTGGAAAACAGAATATATTCGAAATCACGAATGAGCAAAATTCTCACCTTTCGCACGTGCAAACTTTGAGCGGACGTTGCGTGCGCATACAATATTGAATCACCGTAAATTTTTGCATAGTGGTATTTAATATATAGTTTGATAAGCATGCAAAGTTTCAGAAGATTTCAAAAAGAACTTGGATCACAACGGGACTCCAAAGTTGATAAAAATCGTGAAAATCAAAATTTTTAGTGATTTTAGCTATTTTAAATAAATTTGGGCGTGTCCCCACGTGTGCAACTTTTCGATTTTTAACTTTAAAACTAGCCTATAACACAATTTACACCTTTAAGAAGCAAAATTGAGCTCCACAACCCAAGGGATGACCCAACACCAGAGAATACTAATTCACAACTTTTGTGTTTTTATAAAATTATTCTTCAAAAAAGCACTAACTTCAATAGCAAATATCTTTATGAAGGAGCAAGGTAGGAAACTATTCCGGTAGATTTTCGGAATGCTTGAACAATTATCTAAGGTAAAAATGTCCTCAGATTTTGAATAAAATTACTCCTTAATAGCGTAAAATCGATTTGAAAAGTTGTTACTTTGTCAAAAATCAAGTTTTTAAAACACTTAATTTGATGACGTCATCAAGTGATGATGATGACGTTAAATTATTTTTCAATACAATGTAAACTAAAGCTTAAACGATTATCTTTAAAACCTGTGGTTCGAGATGACTGTATCGTTTATACTTTCGAATCTACGGACACTTAAATGTAGGCTACAATTGACTGCAAAAAGCGTCTATATTATATATCTTCACGACAATCTGTTGTAAAACAGGGGTTCCAGAAAACCCACTTCACGATACTCCTGAAACATGAAATTTTTTTTACAGTCGATTTGGACAAGGTATTGACGCCCTGCAAAGTTTCAGATCTCTAACTCAATTTTAACATGGTTTTTAAGGCACCTGAATATGGCGATTTTGGGTTTTTTACCTAATTTCGTATAACATGCTGGCGCGTATTTTGCGCAAATTTCTTAAAAACCTCCATATAACTATTTCTTATTCCTGTCATCTTTAACATTGAATTAGAATGTTTTGAACTTAAATGTACCTGCTGATCTACTTTCGATGAGTCTTAATGCCTGGAAATCAATAAAGGGGATATAATAGTATAGGGGGTAAATAGTATTGTGAATATAAGGGCGACGGTAATGCTTGCCAGCATTGTGATCATTTTCCATGGGTGAACCTTTTATGTTTATACATGGAGAACCTCCAATGTACGGTAATTAAAGAATTGTATTGTAGTATAAATGCCAGTAGTATACTCACTGCGGCGGAGAGGATGAGTCTGGGAGCTGCATCTGAGTTGGTTCTCCTCCAGCTCTTTACCCGGGTCAACCCTGGGTTTACTGCTTTCCTGTGAAATGTGTTTAAGTTGAGTATCAGGAATTTAGAGTTGAGTATCAGGAATTTAGAGTTGAGTATCAGGAATTTAGAGTTGAGTATCAGGAATTTAGAGTTGAGTATCAGGAATTTAGAGTTGAGTATCAGGGATTTAGATGCGTGAACCGAAAAATAGACTGGATAGAAGTGAAGGTAGAAACCAGAAGATGGTGAAATAAACATTGCTAACTATCAGACATCACAATAGTGTCAAGATTCTGGTCGAATTGAAAATAAAACATAAAAGTAGCAGAGCTCTTTTCTGTTCTAAATCTAGAACAGTACTATACATAAATGGAGTAAAGAAGGTGTCGCATCTTCCTAACTATCATAATAAGCGTTTTACAATTTCATCGCTAGAACATTGATTCAATGTTCTAGTGATTAAATTATTGAATATTACCCCTCGTTGTCCTCTAATTGATCTAAGATTTCTTGGTCGTATTCGAATTTCTCTTCTTGAACTGGAAGTTGATCAACCATACAAAGTTTTACCTCTTGACCAAAACTGACGATTTATTGTCGTATCTTTTTAATGATATGTAAGCAAGACGTTTAGCAATTCGAGAGCAAACAAATATCCTGTAAAAACTTAAACTTAAAGTCAGCGTTTCTCTGCTGGCAATAATGAAATGTTTAACTAAAAAATAATTTCAAATAGTTGTTTCAAAAAATCCTAGCAAGTTTGTTATTAATCTGCTTCTTAAACTCCGTTGTTTTGATTGGCGCTGGAGTTAGTCACGCGACTAGTTTAAAGTCACGTGCTGCTGCATGACGGATAGACTGGGTAACATATCTAATTATCTATTATCTAGCTGTTCAGCTCGAACGAATGCGAATGTGGTTTACTGTTGCTGTAAGCATTCAAAAATTTGAAAGTACACCTAATCAAGAAAACAATGCCAATTGATCTACAAAAGTGTATGTGCATGAAAAATGGAAATTTAAGCTCGTCTTCTAATACTTGCGACCTCTAAACAAACCCAGCCTACTACGTTGGTTTTTACGTAATTTAATATACGTTGCATGCACACTAACCAGGCTACTACTAAATACAGTTTCTTTCAGATTTGATAACCATCGTTACCTAATCTATTCCCTGTTTCTAGAAGACTAAGCATGGAAAACAGTATTCTGCAGAATCTGCACTCGGGTAAAACAGTGTCGGTCTAATGTCGTCATGTCAAAGTTAAAACGAGATTCAATCTTCAACTTCAACTTCAAGTGTCACACAGTCACAAAGTCACAAATAATAAGGGTTGACGGCTTAAAAGCGTTTTACATTGACGTTAAATCTCACGATGTATCGAATTTAAACTCGGATGAACCCAAAATGAACGTCAGTACTAGTACACAAAGGATTCGGAAATTAAAATAATCACCCCAGACGGGACCATGCCGCCCGAACCACAAAATTCAAAATCATACAGATAAATCAGTAAATTAAATTAATTGTAAATCTAAACCCGTCTAAATCTGCAATATGTAATGTTTTATTAGATTTTAAATCCTCTAGTAGCGACATTCGACAGCTTTAGATTTAAATATCATGTCATGATTCAAAGTCATAATATGCAATTTTACATGCTAGATACCTATTCTCTAGTTTCAGCAGCACTTTCTAGAATTACCGACGGATTTGGTGGCAGTACAGTAATTATTACATTTTATCATGTTAACATCTCGTTATCATGATCGCTGCAATAATATTCCATCATTTTACTCCACATATTCAGCCAGAATCCTTCTATTTGTTGCCCAAAACTCGAACAAGATAAGTTATGATATAGTGTAAATGTAATCGCCACGGTGTCAATCTAAATCACGTACTTGTTGGTGGTCTGGTTGCCAGGGGTACTGCTCTGACCAAACAGTCCCTTGGTTGCTTTCTTCACCACATTCTGCCACCTGTTGAAGGCTACGGCGGACCGAGGCCGCTTATCTGAGGTAGAAGTCCCTACCGGCATCATTCTGAGGACTAAGCCATGGTTGAAGCGGTAGTTTGTGGTCTTCTGTGCAGTGAGAATATGTTAGAACATAGAATGGAGAGATATCGTGAGGCAATTTACTGACTGATTAATAAGGGGTCGTTCACATATTACGTAATCAGCATTTTTACCCCCCCCCCCCCCCCCCCCTCAGCTGATTACGTAATATGTGAACGACCCCTAAAGTCTAAATACAACGTTAATGTAAGCTTAATTCCAATTCACACTTCCAATTGAAACTAAGTTTTTATTCTATATTTACGTTATCCATTGGCGTCTTGTGAGGAAACAGTCTAGACTCAAAAGCCCAAAATGAGAAGAACTAACGTCCAGAATGCAGAAGTACTGAAGGCTTGAAAACCGTTCTTGGCATGCAAACTTCGACAAAAACTTTGTTTAGCAAAAACCAAATCTCAACATGATTCGAATCGTTTGAAACCGAATTTTACATAATATAACATTCTCGCCATGCATTATAAAAGTCCAGCCTAAACTTGTTTTAAATTAGTCCAGTATGTGGCATGTGCTTGTTGCAAAATAATTTTATTAAAACAATTTCAATTTATTGAATAATAATTCATAGTTAAATCAGACCTAAGTGCAGAGGGTCGGCGGTCGCACGCGAAAAAAGTGCATACAATCAAAACATCAAAGCATCAAGTATCAACCGTAAGATTTTGAAAGCTTTCATGATCTTAGGCAAATATAAAACGTTCAGAATATGATTTTTATCTGGAGTCTACTTTACAAGCCTTATAATCTCTTGACGACATGCTACTCAGCTTCAACTTCAAGTGAGATTAAGGGGGAAAATAAATACAGTAAATCCCGATTCACCGCAGTCTTTTCTTTCCCCCGAATAGGCCTTAACATCACATACTTAATATGAATAAATAAAATCACGATTTACCGCGAACCCCGATTTACCGTGCCTGTTTCCTTTCTCACAAAACCCGCGGTAAATCGGGGTGTTATATTTGGCAAATTACTTCAGATGTTTTGAAAGAGGATAGAGGTTTAAAACCGCGAGGAAAAAAGAGGCCCACAGCTGCTATAGTACAGCTCATGCCTTTAAAACATAAAACCGATAAGGTGGTAAAAGTAAAACCAATAAAGTCTATGATGAGGTCGGAAACGTAGAGCAATTGACAGAGCACACAATTAGTTACTTCTTATCAAGACACTACTTGACCGGCCACTAACTGACACTGAAATGTGGTGAGCAGTGCGTTTAGAACTGCTTGGATGACACGCTCTGTGTTTTGAGTGGTGCTGATTAGCTGGCTCTGAAGCCGACTACTGACAGGTGGCTTTAACAGGTGCCACTTTGCTTGTCAGCCGGACAACACGCCGCTCTGACAAGGCCCTTGTAGTTGATCAAGCAATAGTAGGCAATACACACGCAGTGGAGTTGAGCAGGACATCACAGGCTGCTGAACATGACGGACAGCGTCCGGAGACCGCCAGTAAAACGAAAGTCCGCCAGCGACCAGTGAAAAAATAGCATGGGCTGAGGGCAACCAATCAGCAAGCAGTACATGCCTTTGACAACCAATCAATTTGAAGGACAAGTCACGTGGTACCGTGAGCCCAGTCAACGGACAAGCATGAGAATTCATGAGAATGTTTTCAGAGTTATGATCCCAGACGAGGAAAATTAAGAGATGAGACGGTATCTCTATATGCAATTATTACTGCATCTGTATCTAATGTTCAATCTCGTACATTTTATCATTTCAGGTGTTGTTTCTCTAATAGTCCCAGCATGCTTCTCTGGACCACCTCTGGGTAGGGGGTCTATGTAGTGTACTCCTGCGAATCTGCAAGAGTGCAGGGGCGGTTCAGTGGTTGTTTCAATTATGTTTTTGATTTGTCTAGAGGAAAATTCGTACGCAGTAATTTATCAAAAGAAGTATAAAATTAGTTCCAAAATACACAAAATATCCTCTCTTTAAGTGCCCCACAGTGACGGGTCCACATTAAATATCTGTTATCAAACTTCATCCCGACCCTTTCTGAACCCAACTAAACCTCATATCTCTTATCAAACTTAACCACCCGACCCTTTCTGAACCCTTTCTGAACCTCATAATTGTTAATAAACTTAACCACCCCTTCCTGGACAATTTTAAACTTAACCACTCTCTGAACCCGACTAAACCTCACATCTTAACCCAAACTTTTCTGAATCAGTTTCAGTATAATCAATTAAATTCATATAGATTTTACTAGAAACACTGTTAAAGGGAGATTTAGTATGGACCCGAGTTATAAATAATTCTACCTCAAATCCAAAATACATAAGTTAAACACGATGTATAGAACATGACTTGACCACATCTGCATAGCGAGTACTGGGAAAGGACAATTCTGTTCGCGTCCTCTGGCCATAAACTGATTCATTCTCAATTTGAAACTGGGCTGAGCTTCTTGTTACTTTGTTAGTGTCGCCCATATGCGCGCGTTACCAGACAACTTTTAACTGGGCTTCTTCATAACCCTAGTTCCTTCTCAAATAAGCAGATGTGGTCTCCATCCTGAACAATCGACTAAAACACACCAGTTCCGAACAAACAATGTCCACACACAAAATTAAATCTTCTCAAATCTATTTGATCAAAGTAGTGATATATCTCAGAGTTTGATAAAATCCTTCATTAGGTGGTGTTAGTTCTTTTGTATTTGAGAAGCCAGCCATTGATGAGTCTCTGAGTTAGTATGTGAAGACTTGAGACCCGTTGTACGGCGCACAGCACGCCACTGCTCGTCTCGGTGGTCTCAAACCATTCTCTGATCAGTTCGTTCTGCAGACCAACCTTAGAGGGGAGTTGAGGTTACAACTTTGTCAAAGTTAACGTCCATTAAAATATTAAATATAGGACGTGAGAGTAATCATCATGATAGCCATCTAGAATTTATGCTAACAAATAACTTCATGCGTTCAACTAATTGGAACCATGATAGGTTGACGTTTTTTCATCAAAATAAAAATGTTGTTGGTTAGTGGTTTATCACACTGTAGATTAAATAATTGATTTTAATCATGATGAAGCAACTATTTGACCTGCATTCCTCTGTTCTAGTGCATTATGTGTAACTGTGTAACGCACTCTAGTATCAATTTGAGGTGTTACATGTTTCAACTCTAACAGTTTGTCACGTGGTATTGAAATCTCAAGCATGAAAAACAAATTACCCCTCGATATTTGAAGCAGTTAAACATCTATTCTGCAGTTAAACAGTTAAATTACTAAACTGAAGAGCACGATGAGTAATGATTGTTCTAATTGTAATTTATTTGTTCTTAAAATACCGCTTTAATTACACGATGATGGAGGTCACTTGTACATGTTACGTTTGTGGTGATCAACTTTGCTTTGCTTTAAAGCTTTTCTTTGAGCTATTGATGGAAAGAGTTATACATGTCACGATGCTCCCGAATAACGTGTCCCAAAACAACTCAGTTGAAGAAAAAAAAAGAAATGCAAATAGTAAAAAAACTAAATAGCTGTGTGTATGATTTACCTCCTCCTCAGTAATGAAGTGAAGGGGTAGAGGCTGATGTTGCGAGTCAGTGAGAGGTAGTAATATAGAACTATCGTCGCTTTCTTGCTGTATCCCGACTAGAGCAGAGAAGTGACCTCGCGTGTATCCCAGTACTACAGGAGACTTTATACAACATCCTGATCCCCACAGGAGCGGTAGATATATTCCTGGGGGTAAATTCTTGTTAATGTGTGTGTGGGTTATGAAGTAGTGTCAAGTGAATTTGACGGTTTAGTTTAGGGAGATTTTGGTTCTAATCATAAAACACGATTCGGGAGAGAAATCTCTTAATTTCACGTGTCACTTAATTGCGCGCGTCGCGCGCAGCAAAACAGATACGCTAAAATTTCGTTTTCTATTACATTTAACACGCGGATTGCTCACACCTGTAGACCGGTGCCGCGCACTCGAAAATTGGCCTGGAGAATAATACCGGGATCGACAGTTCACCTTATGAAAAAACCTTAAAGTGGGTGACGTGACGCAACAACTATTAGGGTTGTTAGACGGGTAGACATGATTAGAAACTGGAAAATACCCTTACTGTATTGATAGGGTTGGAACTTGATGGTTGTTCACTATAAATAATAAAGATATTATGTCCTTTCATGTTAGGTCAAATTGTTTATTAAATTTTGGGGTATTTGAGAGAGAAACCATCACCTCTTTAAAATGCACAGCAGAAGCTCAGTACTAAATTACATCTAAATGCCTCTACCGTCCAGGACTAAATATAGCCATAGGTAGCGAGTATACGCCACATAAATGTAATAAGCTGCAGTAATAAGTCAAATATTTGAGGGTTTTTAAAAGTAACTTATTTTAAAGAGCATGCGATGTGACCACACTCCATGTTCCAGTGCACAATGCACATACGAACATTATCAGACAGTACGTTTCCAATTATAAGCTATACATCTGTCTATACCCGCACTGCAACACACTGAAGTACAGTGCAGACAGCAGGTTTATACATACCCAGATATTATACTAGACCTAATCTGTATGTTTAGTACACACAGTTAACTCTATATCACTATGTAAAGATAGTAGATAACGAGAAAAGTTTGCTGTATTCCCGTGTCTAGTAGCTTCCTTTTGGCTCAGATATAGAAGCTATTTCTTCAGACACGAACCCACATATCTAATTAAAAACTCCAAATATCTGAGCACGCTATAATTTTTTTAAAAAACTAATTACAACACTACAAATCTATTACATTTATTGAGTGGAACTATGTAAAAGGGGATCGTTGCTAGCGTTAAAACTGTTTTAACCCTGCCATAGTCAGTTGAAAGTCTGATAGCATATGTTCCGTTTGATTTGACCAAACTAATGCCTTTCATTGCTTTATAAAGGTAGACCCTGGCTATAACAGACCACACTGTTGTGATAAGTGAGATGTGATATGTGCTGTCTAGCTGGGATCAAATACAAAATATCACGTGACAAATACAACATTTCACGTGACCACACACATTAACTTTAAAAACAGACAAGTCAGAATATCTTACCTTCAAATCGCGCGTAATCCAGCACCTCTCCAGTGGAGTTGTGCACGTACTTCACCCCGTACACTATGACAGGTCTGCGGAGCACGTGCGCTAGACAGAATATGTGCGCTTGTTCGAGGGACTTGCCCGGTTGTTCCGCTAACTTCACTAGCTTCTTCCAGGCAGTGCTCCACTGGGACTCGTTTAGTGTGTAGTGCAGGTTAGCTGCGTGCATACACTCGTACTCCTTCCAGCGGGGGTACAACCTGGGGGAGTAGTGCAGGTTAGCTGCGTGCATACACTCGTACTCCTTCCAGCGGGGGTACAACCTGGGGGAGTAGTGCAGGTTAGCTGCGTGCATACACTCGTACTCCCTCCAGCGGGAGTTAATATCAGGTAGTATAACTATGGTAACATCACCTTATATGGTAACATCACCTTATATGGTAACATCACCTTATATGGAGAGGGTCATTTCCTATTTTTCTGCATACTATTCATATGATTCTCCAGAGGGGGATGCCAGGTAATTTATCGCCGTTCTCATAAGACTCGGCACGATCTATGTTTAAAACTAAATTGAACAAAGTCCACAGAAATTATATAATTCCACAAAATTATTTAATTCCACAGAATAAGTTAGCTGATATTCATATTTCTGAATATAATTTTATATCGGAGTGTAATTTCTTTTGTGCAACAATACTCTCTTTTTGACGTAATCTCACTGGAAATGCAGGAATGTGGCTGTTTTGTTCCACACAATCCACTCACTCCGCATAACTCCGATAATATATTTCATTAGACCTGCCATGACTCACACACAGACACAGTGTTTTCAAGCAATAACTGGATGAAATGTGCAACTTGCACAAGCTAATAAATGAGTTTTATTGCTACTACTAACACTACAACAGGTGGGGTGCTCACTGTTACAGGACTGTGTATTGGCAGGTGTGTGTGTATACACGCAATATCGACCATACAAACCGCATATTGGCTGCTACTAAAGCTAACCAGCAGATATTTATACATTGACTTGTATACACTGTATACATTGACTTGTATTCACTATTCACTGTATACATTAACATTTGACGGTTACTATAAATGAAGTTGTGACGAGGAAATACGTGGCTCACTGCCAGAATACAGCATACGAGGCTTTGTACCATTGTTACCATGGTTACAATTATAAAATTTGTTATAGTTTCCATAGTCCATACATTAAGCAATAAGCATATTAGGTTGAGTGTAAGTACATTATAATTTATACATTGCACATTATACATTGTAAGTACATTATTTAATATATATTCATAACTTCCTGGATTAGTATTAGCCCTGAAGTCTGTATCAGACCAAGACGCACAATGAATGATGTAATTTGATAATATCTGTTGTACCTATAACATTCATTGTTATAGGTACAACATTGTATAATAATAGTTTGTAATTTGCTATGTTTTGTTAGCTTCAATTTGCTGCGGAGAAAGCGGAGAGCGAGACGAGACAATGAAATCGACAAGAAATAAAGAAGGAGGAGCTCCTCCTCCTCCTCCATTATTACAATGGTTAAACTTGTCTGGACTTGTGATATGAGATACGCAAAAAGAACATCACAAATATAAAGATCTCTATTATCTCTATATTACTAAAATGTGTAGAGTTTGACTAACTTGTCCTGTGCGTGTACAAGTGTGTTGGAAAGTGCTCGTCTCAGAGACCCGTCCCTATCGTTAACTCCCCATGTTGCCTGAATAACACTTGATTAACAAACTTATCTGTTAATTATATTATATATTATGTTAAATATTATATTATAGAATATATACGGCATCTTATGCTGGATGTATTTATAAAGTTTTAAAAGCATCTTCATCTGGATTCTGAATGGCTCTTCAGTTATAAAACAAACCTATTATACTATATATGTAGCGAACTTACTAACTTTCTAATGTAATCTGCACTTTATTGAACATATTATTTATTAATAAAAGTGTTAAATTATAGAAGTACAAGATAAGTTAAAAAGGGATACTTGGTTACTAAACTTCAAAGTAGAATACAGGGTTTCCACAGCATACGGGCAGCATACAGGTTGCGTGTACGCGGTTTTAGAGTTTGTAAATGAAAACACACATATTGTTAACACACATATTGTTAACACACATATTGTTAACACACATATTGTTAACACACGTATTGTTAACACACATATTGTTAACACAAATATTGTTAACACACATATTGTTAACACACATATTGTTAACACACATATTGGCTAATGATAACACGTTTGATAACACCAGGCACATCCGGGACTAGTTTTAAAATAGGCAGGTATTATATAAACTATATCAACACTTTACACTTATTACATTTATTGGGGGAGAAAAGTGAAAGGAAATGACAGTCAGCCTGGTAAAACTTGTTTAAATTGCCAATATTACAGTCTCTACTAATGTGAACCTAGTTGATAGTGTCTCGCTTGTTAACAAGAAATCAGGTTTCAGAGTTTCAGTGTGAAATTCAGTGTGTAATTGGGAGGTATCAGGTGACGCAATATTTGAACAACATTTCACCAGCTCAGGGCGGTAGTTATCTGTAACACACCATAATAAAGTATTTGGTCAAAACCTGGCACAACTTAGCGAGTTTAGAAGGTTTGAGATGTTATTTGTGCTCCCTAGGGTCTCTACTTCAAAAAAAATTTGGGTGGATAATTTTTTATGTTTGTTTAAACCCGTGACCACGCCCTTTTTAAAGCGTGGGAAAATTTTCCCAAAATTATTGAAATTTGCCTATAATATTTGATGGGGGTCTCTAAATGGCTTGATATGATGCCATCAGTATTACTAGAACATAATGAAATAAAATTTGGGTAAATAAAAGTGTAGTGGCACCCTGACCACGCCCATTTACACAATTTTTGGCGGAAAATTCGGAAAATTCGAAGTTGTTTACTCTAGCAGCAGGGAGGTGTTTAGTGTGTATTTAAACTGCTGAATCAAGTTAAATAGGTTATATAAGTAACTTAATTCAATTAATTGGGCATGTTGAGCCATTAGTTCAGCCTTGGGGAACCACGCCCATATTTCATATTAGGCGCGAATGTGAGAAATTTTTATCTCAGCTTCTGAAGGCCGTAGAAACTTAACTTTGGGCTTAAAATTACCGCAATATGTAAGTTTATTTTGACACTATTAAGGTGCTGAAGCTCTCCAGGACTTACTTTTGGATAAAAATGAGAAAAACTGATATAATTTACTGAAGCGCATTAACAAACAAAAAACTTCCCTAGCAGCTAGGTTAAGTCAAGTAGGCACATCAATGTATAAAGTTTTACTCGACACGGTCGAGTAAAATTCGTAAGGTCTAAAGGTCATTCTGGGCTAGAATAATTTGATTTTGGGTGCCCACGTTTATCAGTAGTCCAACCCTGGCCTAGGTAGTAAAATTTCTACATTGCCCTGCAGGCGCGAATATAAGATTTTTCTATCCATCTCAGCTCCTGAATATTGTAGGACTTTCAAGATAACCACAACAGCAGAATGGCCATATTGATATTTATATACAAGCTATGAAGCAGTATGGGGTCTATAGTGCATAGTTTTTGAGATATTTATTTTTAAAACATGATTTTTAAATATATCTTGCGCTTAAAAATACAACAAAGGTTCAACACTACCGCATTTATGAACCAGCACCATCACTCCAGTGGCGTAACGTTGCCTGTTGGCGCCCCCCTGCCGAAAAAAGCGCCCCCCTGTTGGCGCCCCCTCCCCTTTTGGTGCCCCTCCCTAAAATTGAACAAATTAGGTGATTTTAAAGAATACGCCGGTAAAATCTCTAAAAAAGTGTGTATCTAGATCAAAACGCGCAGTTTTGCTAGTACTTTAGTGAAGTTTTCGAAATTGTCCCACATTCAAACGACGATTTGGCGCCCCCCTAAGACGGCGCTCCCCTGCACAGCGGGGTCAGCAGGGCCTTTCGTTACGCCACTGCATCACTCATCAGCTCATCTTAGAAATCACAAACAACCCGCCGGGCAGCTATCTCTAGTTAAGCTCATTTCAGTACCCGTCGACTATAATATATGCCCACTTTTATGTCAGTACAACCTCATCTAGCAAAGTCCAGCTGAAGCAAAAGGCCGACTTCCAGGTCCCCCCATTATTAGGGTCCCATGGAGATCTGATCATGTCACTAATCAGTGACGTATAATTAGTGATGTGATCCATCGGTAGAATTTAACTGACCTAGAAATGGGCGAGATACAGGGTAGAGTTCACATGTCAACTCTGTATGTATCATAGCTGTGCATTAAGAAGTAAACATGATCTTTAAGATTTGACCGCTCGACTCGTATATCACATAAGGGACGGGAGCTCTTGGTAAAGCTAAGGGGGGTTCTCGTATCTAGGGATGTCAGACGTACGTGCCAAAGAAATGCAACGGGAGTGAGCCGATCTGATGTCGAGCAAGTATTCTCTGAAATAACGTACTATATACAGACAAACTTGCCTAAGCTAATGTCTATAGTTAATTATTTCGAGAAGACTTACTTTGGGTCAGTCATTGTGGACAGTGAGGTGAGGCTGCTCCCTGCATATCCCTTAAGAGTTATTAAAGAGCAGCAAGTCATTACTGACTTGTTGTAATGACTCAAATCACATGTTCTGTAAATCATAGATGGTGGATCACATCACTAATTATGCGTCACATCACTAATTATACGTCATATGATCTGACCCATAATAATAGGGGGGCCTGGAAGTCGTGCAGCCGCTGAAGCTACTAACAGTTACCTCCAGCCCTATCCTAATATTAATTTTCCCTCCAATTCTAGCTCTTTCCAGTGACTTCAACTTCATTCTAATTTGGTGAAAAATCGTGTAAAATGGTGACAAATAGTGAATGATTTTGTTTCCATTGTAAAATTTCACCATTTTCACAATTGTTCACCATTGTGACCCCCAGTTCTCTTCCGGTATTGGGATGGCCTGAGATGCTTATATCCTTTTCAGTAACCCTAACCCACTTGCACTCTGTGTCAAGGCACTATACTCGTATACTAGTTGTAGGGGGTTAGTCCTACGGGCTACGAGCCAGGGAGTGTGAATCTTAGTGATTGGCCGACATTACCCGGTTCCGGTCCGGCAAAATGCGGCAAACCGTATCCTGTCTTTTCCGGTCCGGTGGCCAAAACCGTTGACCGGTCGGTTTCTAACCCTCTGCTCTATCCAGCGGCCACTGGAAGCCTACTATTCCAGTTCTTCTGCCAATAACTTCCTGCTCCATCCATTTGTGTTCTTCAAGTAACTTTATCATTTTCCAGCAACGACTGTTGCAATTTACTCTATCCATGTAATAGCATCAACATCCTACAATTAAAGCTCTTTCAAAATGTTCCAAAAATGATTACTTAATATGTGAAAGACCTCCAAAAGGTTGCTATAAAATTTAGATTTGTAGGATACTGGTGATAGCTAGCAGGCTAGAAGCTACAATTAGTTGAAGAGGGCAGCAACAGGGTAGATTTGGAGCCTAGAGATAACTGAAGGTTGCTAAAACCGGAATTTACTTGTCACTTGATGAGATTGAGGTCAGTAGAAAGAGCTAATATTGGAGGGAAAGGATAATATCAGAAGATAGCTAGAGCTGCAGTTAGCTATTGCTGGAGTTTCCTAAATGAGATTGAGGTGGGTGGAAAGAGCTAGGAGGTTGTACTGACATAAAAGTGGGCATACAGGGTGAGTTGAAAATAGTGTGTAGATTGTAAAAATCGATAATGTTTTATGTATATTATAGTCAACGGGTATATTATAGTCAACGGGTACTGAAATGAGCTTAACTAGAGATAGCTGCCCGGCGGGTTGTTTGTGATTTCTAAGATGAGCTGATAGTACTGGTACATAAATTCGGTAGCCCAAGATAAATGCGGTAGCCCAAGATATATTTAAAAATCATGTTTTAAAAATAAATATCTCAAAAACTATGCACCCCATACTGCTTCATGCACCCCATGTACTGCTTCATAGCTTGTATAATGTATATAAATATGGCTTTTCTGCTGTTGTGGTTATCTTGAATGTCCTACAATATTCAGGAGCTGAGATGGATAGAAAAATCATATATTTGCGCCTGAGGGCAGTTTAGAAATTTTACCACAGCTAGGACAGGGTTGGACTACTAATAAAAGTGGGCACCCAAAATCAAATTATTCTAGCCCAGAATGACCTTTAGACCTTACGAAGGACACTGTGTCGAGTAAAACTTTATACATTGATGTGCCTACTTGACTTAACCTAGCTGCTAGGGAAGTTTTTTTTGAAAAGGCCCATGGGTGAATATGGGTTAATGCGCTTCAGTAAATTATATCAGTTTTTCTCATTTTTATCCAAAAGTAAGTCCTGGAGAGCTTCAGCACCTGAATACTTTAATAGTGTCAATATAAACTTACATATTGCGGTAGTTTTAAGCCCAAAGTTAAGTTTCTACGGCCTTCAGAAGCTGAGATAAAAATTTCTCACATACGCGCCTAATATGAAATATGGGCGTGGTTCCCCAAGGCTGAACTAATGGCTCAACATGCCCAATTAATTGAATTAAGTTACTTATATAACCTATTTAACTTGATTCAGCAGTTTAAATACACACTAAACACCTCCCTGCTGCTAGAGTAAACAACTTCGAATTTTCCGAATTTTCCGCCAAAAATTGTGTAAATGGGCGTGGTCAGGGTGCCACTACACTTTTATTTACCCAAATTTTATTTTATTATGTTCTAGTAATACTGATGGCATCATATCAAGCTATTTAGAGACCCCCATCAAATATTATAGGCAAATTTCAATAATTTTGGGAAAATTTTCCCACGCTTTAAAAAGGGCGTGGTCACGGGTTTAAACAAACATACAAAATTATCCACCCAAATTTTTTTTGAAGTTGAGACCCTAGGGAGCACAAATAACATCTCAAACCTTCTAAACTCGCTAAGTTGTGCCAGGTTTTGACCAGATACAGGATTACTGCGGTACTTGCAGTACCGGTTACGCTGCTATTTGGCAACCGCCCAACTTATTTACCGCACCACTGCGGTACTTGCAGTACCGGTCGCGCTGCTATTTGGCAACCGCCCAACTTATTTACCGCACCACTGCGGTACTTGCAGTACCGGTCACGCTGCTATTTGGCAACCGCCCAACTTATTTACCGCAACTTTCAATTATCGTCTACTTTAGTTGGGCGGTTGCTCTTATCGCGGACTAATTATCATATTATAATATTCCAGCAGTGGTCGTTAAATCATTATATTTATCAATTTCAGTCGGTAAATCTCATTATTTCAACGCCGAGCTGCACAAATGTTTTAAATTCAGATCGGCTTGTCAAGCTGTGCAATGTGTATGTGATTTAAAGTATGATCGCAGCGGGTATTACTGCGTTAAATGTCCTACTACTATTAAAGTCCTAGTGTAATGAAATTAGTGAAACCTAGGAGACGCGAACAACCTCTGCAGTCTGTTTTAACTGGAAATTAAATAGTTAGTTAGTGAAACATTATTCTGAGGAATATAGTGGTAGTTATACCTTGTACAGCAGTGACAGTTGTAAGGACTCCGTGCACAGTACAGTTACTGACAACGCAGTAAGTAGATATGTAGACTGTAAAGTTACTAGGAGGGCACTCAAACACCCAGCATACCACACATTATCATAACGCAGAAATAAATATTATGTTAAATATACTAATATTATGGTTTTAGAGGTATAGACTGTACTAAATCACTACATACCACGCAGATAACAGACAGCACATATTTACAGGCGCAGTTACACGTGCAGTTACACGTGCAGTTACACGTGCAGTTACACGCGCAGTTACACGTGCAATACGTTCAGTGACACTACTTCACACATAACACACAGAGCAGTAACTCTGTAGAGTGGACACTAATAACACTTTATAATCCAGGTTTTATCTCTCTCCGCAGCAGTGTGCAGTGTGCAGTGTGCACTGAGTATATGAATATTGAATAGTGTGTGGTATTGTCTACTCAACAACCAGTACGTGAGCTAAGTGTAGTAGACGCAGCAGTAACAGCAAATAGACGCTGTACAGTATCGGCTGTATGGATTTAGAATAATGGAGTAGGAGTACTGTAACATTGTTAGACACAGTGATACACTAGACATTAGCCAGGAGAGAGTTAGTGTGTGTGTTAACGGGAGCAGGAGAGAGTACCCAGTAGGGTACCATATGTAATATGTATACAACAAAACGTGGACACTATGAGAACGAGACAAAGAACGGGGTCCCGCATAATCAAGATGAGAATAAACAAAGGAAAACCCCAAAATCACCTTAAAATCCTGGTGAAAGTTGAACCACGGCCCGTTTAAAGGGGAAAGCAGTGTACTTTATTATAATAGTAATACCATTTACTGCTTATATTTACCTGTAAAGCACTGTCAAGAAGACAGTCACCAGCACTCCTGTTCCAGAGAGCGTAAAGTTTACTGTTGTGTTTAGTTACGATCTCCTTACTCCAGTTAACCACTCTGTTCTCCTCCAGCACTGAAATAGATCACGTGTTAAGTTAAGTGTCACGTGTTAAATAATGTATCACGTGTTAAATAACGTGTCACGTGTTAAGTTAAGTGTCACGTGTTAAATAATGTATCACGTGTTAAATAACGTGTCACGTGTTAAGTTAAGTGTCACGTGTTAAATAATGTATCACGTGTTAAATAATGTGTCACGTGTTAAATAATGTGAATAACAGTGTGCGTGCCCATGGTAACCCCACACAACTAGATACTTTTTAAATATAATATCTTCATATAAGATTGAAATTTCAGGGCTAGAATTATTTATGTTAGAATTATAAGCTAGTCCAATAATTATAGGCACTAGCCCTCGCACCGACAACGGAGACAGTAAAGTTAGGACTGTGAGTGTGAGTAATGTAGGATGTTACAGACCAGACTGTGTAACCACTGTGATCCTGTCACACCCCACTTGTCACACCCCACTTGTCACACTGTGCATATCATCTTAGTAAGCCATACGATCTCCCCATTTCCCTTAATTCCCTTAATATAACATTTAACTTTAAACACCGTTTTGAAATTACCTAAATCAGACGAGTGTAAACGTGTAATGCAGGATAATATATTTTAATACAGGAGGATTTTATCTTAACGTCTCAGAATCACCCCACACTCCTACTCAATCCCAGTTCATGTGTATTTCAGCACAACTGTGCAGTGTGTACACTGTGTATAATCTTACTGATAATAATATGGCAATATTTCAACGGTTTGAAATATGACTACACTTTTTTCATCTTATCTCTTAAAGTTAGCTTAATAATATTACTAGCTCAGAGTTGTAGTGATCTCAGTTTCAAAAGCAGAAGAAATGGAGAATATGACGTTGAGTCGATGAAGTATTGAATTTAGGGTATGATCATATTGCCTATCTCATATTATTATATATATATACTATTAGCGGTTATTGCAGCTGAATAGCGTGTGTAATATTGCACTACTCTGAGGTGTCCTCAATAAGCATTGAGTAAAATAGTACTTTAGTATAATAATATAATACTTGAGGTCACTTTACAGTTCAGCAGTGTACAAACTATAGTTGACCCGTCATAACACGTGACATAACACGTGACATAACACGTGACATAACACGTGACATAACACGTGACATAACACGTGACATAACACGTGACATAACACGTGGCATAACACGTGATATAACACGTGACATAACACGTGACATAACACGTGGCAACACGTGATATGGCTCCCAAAATAGCTTCACAGTTTTAAAGCCGAATATTGGGCCCCGTAGTGTAATTATATGCCATATGGAGTTGCTATGCTTTACATAACATATTAAATATAGCTTTAGTTGCTATGGTTAACACTAAATATAACATTTTACTTAAATAGTTGCTATGGTTTGCATGATTGTTAAGATTAGTCAATGCCCCAGCTCAGCATTTTAACACAAAGATTAAATTACCTCTTTGCGCCTCTAGGTCCAGGATCTCGTCAAATAAACACTTTTGTGTGTAACTGCCAAACGAAAATATCTCTGAAATAGTGGGTAAGTTAAACTTGGTTAGTAATTGAGAATTTACACATGAATAACATTGTCATATCAATATCATAATCCGCTTATTTCCCCCCGAGACCAATAATAATATCCCAGCCCTGTTTTTTACTTGAAAACAGTGTTAGTTATAAATATAATACAGTGATACAGTGTTATAACCTATAATTGTAATACAGTGTTAGCCTAATTGTGAATGTTCAGAACCAGACATCCATCATTAGTTTTACAATTCGGTTCATGTGCATGTTACATAAAATATAACAACTTTTGATAAGCACACACGTATTATCACTTCAGACATAACTCTGAATATATGCAAGCATGGCACGTACGGTTTTTGATATATCCAGCGCGATTTTCTTGGACTCAAGCCAAATGGAAAGTCTAAACTTTCACATCTTCAGATTTAGCAGTAACGATGTTATAATCTAGCTGCTGCAGATGCTGCAAAAAAAGATATGCTACCAAACACAACGCAACTGTGACGATGTTATGTCTCAATAAAACAAGTATTCAAACAAGCCTATTAGGGCATGTTTGGGCATGCAGCTTTTGATATTTTATTTGTAGCCTTCCCAGACCTAAGAATTAGCACCACACGTTATTGCGGCTCTGTTCTCTTAACAGATTGACTTACAGACCAAGCCTCACTACCCGCATTCCACTGTTCACAGAAGTAATAGTGTATACACTGGCACAGTAATAGTGTATACACTGGCACAGTAATAGTGTATACGCTGGCACAGTAATATTGTATACACTGGCACAGTAATAGTGTATACACTGGCACAGTAATAGTGTATACGCTGGCACAGTAATAGTGTATACACTGGCACAGTAATAGTGTATACACTGGCACAGTAATAGTGTATACACTGGCACAGTAATAGTGTATACGCTGGCACAGTAATATTGTATACACTGGCACAGTAATAGTGTATACACTGGCACAGTAATATTGTATACACTGACACAGTAATAACTTGTATACACTGGCACAGTAATAGTGTATACACTGGCACAGTAATATTGTATACACTGGCACAGTAATAGTGTATACACTGGCACAGTAATAGTGTATACACTGGCACAGTAATATTGTATATTCTGGCACAGTAATATTGTATACACTGGCACAGTAATAGTGTATACACTGGCACAGTAATATTGTATACACTGGCACAGTAATAGTGTATACACTGGCACAGTAATAGTGTATAAAGCTATACTAGTATACGGAGGTATGCTCACATACCGTAGGGAAGGATGAAAGTAACAGGATCGCTCATGTAGTGACAGTAGAAATCTCCATGGTTGTACTGCCTCAGGTTACTGGCTACAACTCGTCTGATCTCTGTAGCTGTACTCGGACATTCGTACGAGGGCATTCTTTTTAGGTTCCCCCCTGTTCCACTGGGTCTCGACTGAGGAAATACTGGGTGTTATCTACTGATTACTATACTAGTTTTATGCTCGTGAAGGACATTTAAGGTAATAAAACTCCACAGCAAAAGCTATTATAGGAATCGGAGATGTATTAATATGAAATTAATAATATAAATTTACTGAAGCGCGTGATTAACCTGTGCGGGTATTTATAATTTATTAACCTGTGCGAGTGCCGTATTGAAAAACGCACTTTATAAGGTAAAATAGTTTCCATAGTTGTGAGTTTGGATAAGTTTCTCAGAAAAACAACTTTACACGCTAAATAACGTTCTGTCAACGCCACTCCTTATATGGGCATCACGTGTCAACGCCACCTGCTCAACAATTGCAACCCAGTCTCCCATTACAAATTCTGGCAAGCCGCCAGCGAAACATGCCCAAACATGGTCATGTCACAATGGCTCACCACTGCACAGTAAAACTTGTACCACATGGGTCACTCCCTGGTGAGCGACCAGATGACCAGTGCGTCACAACTTTCGTACTTTACCTGTTGTTGATGACTGAGAAGGACTACAAGGACGTTGTGATTGGAGTGCCGTTGGAGTGCCAGATGAATGAGACTCTGACCCGGGTCGACTGTGTGTGTGTCGCAACTCAGCACTCGCGCTTCTTCAGGGGTCAGAGCGCGTGTGATGCTCCCTATTCTCTTGATATACGTCTCTACCGGGATAGGGTCTCCGTCAATTGCACCTGTAAAGTGTAAAGGTTAAATAACCTGACAGAAATAGCACGTTAGAGCTACTAGTAGGAACCCGTCTAACCTGTCTAACCCTAAAGTGGTGTCAAGACTCAAGATACTAAAACAATTATATTACCTATTTAATTCGCGTTTTTGACACCATTGGGAATCCAAATTTTGGGCACTAAAATTCTTATTCCTTGGCCAATTTTTTATCTTTTCATGCTGATATGAAGGCCATTAAAGTATTTGAACCAGTCAAAAAAGTTTAAGTCATATATCTTCTACGGTTTTTAAGGAAAGTCGTGTTAACTTGATGCCGTCTCGCTTTATATATAGTAAGATGGGTGACCTGAGTGAACTGTGTTTGTATGTAAAGGGCCCCTCAGCTCTGAGTAATTGAAACATCCAACCTTGAGGGTTTTTTGGTATTTGGCCCACTTCCAATAATCATTCACACAACAGTATTGCATTAAAACACAGGGCGTTATACTTTCTTAGCGCACATTTACTAATCATTTACTAAACATTGTGTCAGGCTTTTTGTTGTCGAGAAATAATTTCATCATCTTTTCAAGAATATAATTGCTTTTAATTTTCATAGACTCCGACGTTAATCCTGAATATGGCATGCAGCCAGCAAGCTAGCGGAGAAAGAATTAGCATCCAGATCAGCTGCAATAATAATAATATGTTAAACTCGACACATTCCAACGGGCGAGTGCTAATCACTGTTGCAGTCACTTGTGTGTAACATGTTAATGGGTGCACTGTGCACTGCATCGTGTGCACTGTGCACTGCATTGTGTGCACTGTGCACTGCATTGTGTGTGCTTACAGCAGGGACGTGGTAGATATCACGTGATGCCCATATAAGGTGCGCTACTACTGGTGGTGATGCGGTGCACGCTGACTATTAAAAAGCGCACCTCCATTTCAAGAAATTCAATAATATAATTAATATCTTTATTGTCTCTTCAGAACGTTTAACTTCGGTATAACCATGAAGCCATGCAGACTGTTTAAAAGGCTTGCCATTCTGTACAAATAGCATGCTGAGTGTAAGGTCAATAGACACATGTTTCATATAGATATGTGCGTGCGAGTATTTAGCAATACGCTACTGGAGCCTGGCCAACGGACAAACTTATTTATCTTAGAATCAATCATCTAATTTCCAACAACATTTTATCATACCGATATCACAAATTGAAGTTTACAGAATACACATTATGTAATTATAGTAATGCATAGTGTTATGTATAGTACATATATCGCTGTACACAGTGTACTTACCAATACACGCATGTATCCAGATCCAATCCTCTTGAAGTATTTTATTTCTTATTTGCTTCTTCCTGGTAGAATCATAAAGTAGTTTGCGCTTCTCTGGCCTGCGCCCCTCCGGTCTGTCCGGCCGGAGAGTGCTGCGCTGCTCGGTGCGCGTGCACTTCTCTATAATACGTGACGTACCGGAGCGACGTGACTCAGTGCTGTGTATACTGTCTGTGCTGCTGGAGCTGGAGTTGGAGAGCTGTAGAGGGAGGAAGTTAGAATATCGCGGAGAATGTGGAGGAGAGACAGAGTTAGTTTACGCTCAAGACAGACAGCCTCATTATTGGATTTGGGGATATACGTATTGTCGGACGTTTAATGAGATAATTGGCGAATGTCTTTGCCGTTGCAATTTTGTCGCAGTAAGTTTACATCACACGAAACGAATGTAATATCGATATTTCCGCCGATTTGTAGCAGAAGCTGCATTTCATATTTACTGTTTAGGTTGGTTACCAGCTCAGTTTTAAGTTCAAGAATCTAAAGATTTTGAAGAATTTTCAATTGAAGGTATTTTATGTAAAACCATAACTTTTATCATAATGGGAGTAACAGTAACAAATTTAACAATCAGTTGAACTTAACCTAATATAAACCCTAATACACCCTAATATAAACCCTGAAAGTTAGGTTTAACCTGTCTTATTATAATATAGACCCTGAAAGTTAGGTTTAACCCGCTTATATACCCTGAATGTTAGGTTTAACCTGTCTTATGTAGGTGGGTGTAGGAGAGGTCTGGCACATTACACACTTCTTTGTCTTGGGGAAGTTCACATACGTACACTTAGAACACACCCATTTGTCAGCAGGCTGAGAAGTGTGACACGGTTAGTGACTGATGAGTGTGACACGGTTAGTGTTGAGGAGTGTGACACGGTTAGTGATTGAGGAGTGTGACACGGTTAGTGGTTGAGGAGTGTGACACGGTTAGTGACTGAGGAGTGTGACACGGTTAGTGGTTGAGGAGTGTGACACGGTTAGTGATTGAGGAGTGTGACACGGTTAGTGATTGAGGAGTGTGACACGGTTAGTGGTTGAGGAGTGTGACACGGTTAGTGATTGAGGAGTGTGACACGGTTAGTGATTGAGGAGTGTGACACGGTTAGTGATTGAGGAGTGTGACACGGTTAGTGACTGAGGAGTGTGACACGGTTAGTGACTGAGGAGTGTGACACGGTTAGTGATTGAGGAGTGTGACACGGTTAGTGATTGAGGAGTGTGACACGGTTAGTGATTGAGGAGTGTGACACGGTTAGTGGTTGAGGAGTGTGACATGGTTAGTGATTGAGGAGTGTGACACGGTTAGTGATTGAGGAGTGTGACACGGTTAGTGGTTGAGGAGTGTGACACGGTTAGTGGTTGAGGAGTGTGACATGGTTAGTGATTGAGGAGTGTGACACGGTTAGTGGTTGAGAAGTGTGACACGGTTAGTGATTGAGGAGTGTGACACGGTTAGTGATTGAGGAGTGAGACACGGTTAGTGATTGAGGAGTGTGACACGGTTAGTGATTGAGGAGTGTGACACGGTTAGTGACTGAGGAGTGTGACACGGTTAGTGATTGAGGAGTGTGACACGGTTAGTGATTGAGGAGTGTGACACGGTTAGTGACTGAGGAGTGTGACACGGTTAGTGACTGAGGAGTGTGACACGGTTAGTGATTGAGGAGTGTGACACGGTTAGTGTTTGGCTATTATAGAGTTATAGGGGATATCAGCAAAATTGCTGTCTAAATATTTTCACTGTGATTAAACAGTAATAAACTGTTTTAGAATTATAATTATCGTTATAATTCATTCATGCCGGGTTGCTAGAAATGCATATTAAGTTAGGTGTTTAAACTCCAACCTCGTTGCAGGTTGATCTGTTTTTCCTAGACCTCCTAGAATTCCTCACAATACCAGAAGCAGTGGTTTTAGTTGACGCACCACACGCACCATCAGAGGTCTGCTCACTCTCGTTTGGAGCTGTTATTATTGTGTCATCCTTTGAAACCTGGCACATTGTGCACCTTTTCGTGACAGGCCAGTTGTCATAGGTACAATTCTGAGGAAGGAAGAATTAATTACAGAACATCTTTTGATGTTATACTAGCTAAGTATAAACTGCTCACTATCTACGAGTACTCAAAGTAGATGAATTCTTTCGTTATGGGTCCCCGAATATTACCTTGCAAGTCCATTTGTTGCTAGGTGGTTGTATTATCTCAGCTTTAACCTTCCCTTTCTCCACATCTATGACACTTTCTTTGGGAGTCAAACACAGCGTGCACTTTCTTGCAAGAGGCCAATTTGCATAACTACATGTTGTACAAGGCCACTTGTGTGTTTCATCTTGATTCATTTGCTTCTGAAGGAATTGTGTTAGTAAGACAAATAATTCACAATATTTGTCATTTTCCGAATTTATCAATTGATATTATTAGCAAGAGGATCATAATTATTAAAGCATAATTTTGAGCAATCGCACTTACAATAAAAACAGGTTACATATCACTAGAAATCTATTACATTTATTGAGAATTATGTAATGTAACGTGATGGAAATATTTTAAGCGGGCATTATCCTGTCCAAACCCAGGATGCATAACAAGAAGAATTTGTTTTAACTTGTATGAATGAAAAGCATTAACATCTAATTTTCAATGCAGAAAAGCTACAGGGGGCCAAAAGTTAGTATATGAAATACATACGTTGGGACTTATAACATAGCCAATATTAGCCATGTTTCATATTTGAGACTTGTAGCTTTGCTGATGACTGTAATTACTGGTTCGAAAATTCTGTTGTTAAAATTTAATTTTTCGAATATTGAAGACCACGCACATTTAATGTTAAATTATTGTTCTTTTCGATCATGCTTAACATCCCATTTTTACATATTAAAGTTGATTGTTGATTGCTGCATCTGATCTAAAAAAGATGTGAAATGGAGATGTTTTCCCCAAACCAGTTATGTATCAAAAATAATTATCTTTATCGGGTTTTCAGTGATTGAGCTATAAACGCCAAGTGATTTCCTTTACCTTTTTCCTGAGATACTTTTTTAACTAGAAATACTTTTTTATTTGATATAACGTGATCCATAATAAGCACTTAGGTAGATTGCTCTTTGGATGAGTGCATGTTTTTCTTAGATCCATAAGAACATCATTGCACTCAACAGAACACACGGTCCCACCTTGCGGATCAAAAATAGAACCATTTGGAATCATCAAGCTGGTACAGTTTGCAACAAATTTTAAATATAAAAGCTGTGAAATCAAAAAATTTGTACTATAATTCATGCACAATAGGTTTAAAATTGAGATGAGAAAACTGAGAATAAACGAACAAAACATCTCATTCCAATGTTGGCTGTTGTAATTTACCGATTAGAGCAATAAAAAGAGTAGAAGTTTTACGGTTTCATAACAGAAAAAACAAATCAGCTAACTTAAACAATATATTTTCTGCCTGACTCTTCTGAAGTCTTCTTGTAGAGATAACACCACACTATCCACCAGGTGAGAATTCCTCCCACGCCAGTTGAGAATACTCAACATGACATCAAGGTAGAATAATAAAACTATCAACTGACCTTGTTTGCATACACCATGGTTTGAGTATATATTATAGAGTACTATTTAGCGCTAGAAATTAATTGGATATTATATTGATTGATTGATTGTATTTATTTGTGATAAATAATAAAATGTTCCTGTCTCAAAAATTGAAGATGAAACCAAAGTTCTCAGATCAGGCCCCATGTATCAATACTTAATTATAGACCAGGTAAAGTTATTACAAAAAAATTTGCTACCATTGCATTAATTTATTTATGCAACTTCAATCTGTTTAGGAACAGAAAAAGCCTGATTCGAGGTAGGTAAAAATATGTATAACTAACATAATAACAGTTAAGGATTGGGTTATGGTTAGGGTCCGGTTGGGATCAGTGTTGATTGACGAATATGTCAATCCTTCGCAGTTTGGCGTGGCCTAGTGGTGCATCTCACCGATCTAACGGTTACGATAAGCATAATTTAATGCGCGGCCCAGTAGTGCATCGCGCTACAAGGATAAGTGTAGAAAGTTTTTGGGTTTCAAATAGTCTTACAGGGCCTCCTAGAGAATGTGTTAGAAAAGTCATGTGACAGTCGAGTGTAGAGTAATTAATCACTATACATTTGACTGTCACATGACTTTTTAAAAGCAGGTGACTATTTTAAAGCACTGAAAGCACATCCAATTTAATACGTATGATATAGTTATATAACTTGTTTGATTCTGCACTATGTTGACGTGCATCAACCAAGAATTTGTGGATACATGGAAAACTGCCAAGGCATCCTCGCCAAAATTAGAATTCTATAATCAAATTAAACATGACTTTGAACCAGAAACATACTTAGGAGTGGTCAAGATCCCTGATGATCGAAAAGCTTAACAAGGTTTCGTATTAGCTGCCACAACCTGTACATTGAGAGGTGCCGATACGAAATCCCTCTAGCACCAAGAGAAGATCGATGGTGCAGTTACTGCTTTTTTAGCAAGGGGCTTAAGCCTATTGAGGACGAAAATCATGTTTTAACTGACAGTTTACTCTACTCCTCAATTAGGGGAAATTTAACTTCCATCCCAAAAATATCACTGACCTAGCCGGTTTAGTTTGCTCTCCAGTGCATAATGCTATAAGACCTCAAATAAAATTGAATTTAACTAGCACAATATCAAATATAATATTTCTAAATTATTCCAATACATCTGTAAATAATTTTGTATATAACAATTTTTCAAACGGTAAATACATGTCACAATGACCCTATATAAAACCAACCCTATAAAAACTCAATACATTCCCCGTCTCAAATATATTGGGACTCCCGATTAGGGAGAAACATTAGAAAATCTGTAAATAATTGGAAATGTTTTTAACTTAAATTATTTCAGAATTACAACTATTGTGTACTTGTAGGTTTATAACCTACCAGGACGCGCGCCGAGTTGTTGAAACAAATATTTTACGAGTATCAACCGTTAATTGTGTACTCAATAAAGTAATTATCACTTTTGTATCCTGGTATATATCCTTGATCCTTGCATACTTGTATACTTTCATCCATGTTTCCTCGACAAAAATCGAACAGGCAACAATTTGAAATGAACTTTGAAGTATATCTGACCTAGATTTTTATTGTATCACGTGGTGACCCCCACTGTCGCTTCACTATAGTGGTTCAACCCCCTGTAGAGTTTCAACGATACAGGGGAGCCGCGCACTCGTGAACGGCGGGTCATACATGACAATGTGCGACAAGATTTTATTACGGAAATAGGTTTTTTAAGCTTGTTATTCATTATTACGGAAATAGCTTTTTTGAGCTTGTTATTTTCTTTTATTATTCTAACTAGGAGGTGCACCATAAAAATAAACTTGCTCGGATCTTAAAAATGTTTGTAAAGTAAAGTAAAGTAAAGTAAAAATTATGACATAACATCATCACTAATGTCTACAAAGTATCATCACACTACATGGAAAAATAACTATTTCTCCATCAAATTTAAAGGTAATAATTTATCAAATATTAATCATGAATAAAAACAACATTACAAAATTTAATTTATTCATACTTCCCAGTGGAGTAAAGATTTATAAAACGTTTCTTTGCTACATAAGGATGGAACCACAGATAATCATTGTGTTTTTCCTTATTACTGATATAACTGGTACCTTCAATTCTTGTTAAAACTTCTTTCGAAACATTCCAAAAATGAAAGTCATTTACAATACATTTAGAAATCATATTCTTTTTAAAACTTTCCAATCCAATTTTAAAACTCAAAACTGTCAAGCAGTTCTTCACCTCCGAAGGGAGTTTGTTCCAATATGGAACAACCCGCTCTGGAAGAAAAGAACACTGAAGATTCTTGACCTTTGTCACACTCTTACTACATCTATTGGATGAAACCAGATTAAGACCTGATCTGCTTGGTCTGAACAAGTCTGAACCATAATCAGTCAAGCCATTAATAACCTTAAAAGCTTCAATAAGGTCCCCACGTATTCGCCGCTCTGCCAGCGTTGTCAAATTAAGGATCGTACCATTGTTTTCTAGAGACTGTGAGAATTTTCGCAATACCAAATTTGTCATACCTTTTTGGAAAGATCAGTGAGTTTTGCCTAGGTGCCATATTTGATGGTGCGCGGCTTTTGGAGCAAAATTAGCTGTAAAAGTCGCGTAATTTGACTAAATTTGACCAAATTCGTCAATTTTTGTCGTATTATTTGGATATATCTTCAGTTCCTTGAATGAGATCATTCTGAAAATTGGTGACGACCTTCCAATAGGGCTTTTACAACTGTCCGAAAAATTTGGTGGATATCGGAGTTGATATAGTGATCAAAATGGGGCAAAATACGCTGCTTTTAGCTGTAACATAATGTTTGATGGTTGGATATGCTTTAAACTTTTCGGACACATTTCTTGTAAGTCTATGAGTAAGCTTACCAATTTTTGTTGCAATCGGAGGTCGGGAAGAATACTTAATATCTATTTGTTTGAAGAAAATTGTGCTGGCCGAAATTAGCGCTAAAAAACCATCCCACAGTCGACACGCGCGGCTCACTGTCGATGGCGCACTACCTATTCTAACGGATCCGGAAAAGTCAATGCAGCGCGGCACTCGGGTCTTTGTTGTAGCGAGATGCGCTACTGTGCCGCGCCGAGCTGCCATGAATTGACATCGTCAATTAAGTTACTGGGCCGCGCTCAGCCTGTCATTCCGCCAAATCTATATATGTTAATGAACATAATAGCCTGGGGTCCTCAGGTAACAATTAAGGGTCTTTGGTATTGTCGTCGGTATATTGTCCATTATCTACGTTCTGCTCTCATAGTTTAACAATAGTGAGTTCTAAATAAACAGCTTTAAACCGATTAAGTATGAATAAATGAAATACCTGACAATCCGCACTCTTATAATTCAAAAGCATGAGTAACTCGTAGTGACGTATGATTTTTAGAAACTTTAAATTAAATTTGGCGCTCACAGGTCCTCGTGATCATGTGATCGCCGCGCATGAGGTTCTGTAAATGCGCAGGGCACCTTCAAGCTTACAGTTACATGTTAAAATATTTACCTTACTGAGACAGTCAACCAACGCGCGGCTTTATTGTTATGATATGATATGTTTTGATTGTGATTGTTATTAATAAATACCAAAATTTAAATTTGTCTTCCTAAAATTTGTTTTCCTATTTTAACAAGTGATACTTGTAAAATATTTGTTCCAAATTCTCTTTTAAAAGTATATTCCAAGTAATTTATGTAAGTGAAAATGTTGCATTTAAATACATTGCAAATAACATTG